TGTAAAACCGGTTTCTAGGCCACCACTCACTCCTACTTCTCCTATCTGTCTGACCACTCCTCTTGTCTCCTTTCTTAGATCCTCTTCTAGATCATGCCCTTTAACCATAGGTGTACCTCAAGGTTCTGTCCTGGGCCCTCTTCTCTTCTCCCTCTCTATATACTTCTTCACCTTTGCAACATCTCTCAATTACACCTTCTCTCCTCTGACACTGCCACCACTCTGGTGCAGGCCTTCATCACCTCCTGTCTGGACTATTGCAATAGCCTGCTGGTGGGTCTGCCTGCCTCAGTCTCTCCCCACTCCAATCCATTTTCCATTCAGCCACTAAAGTGATTTTTCTAAAATTCGGGTCCAATCATCACCCTCCCCCCCCCCATACCCAATAAACTCCAGTAGCTTCCCATTGCTTCTAGGATCAAATATAAAATGCTTGGTTTGAAACTCTTTCATTTGAAACCCTAAAATGCTCCTATCTTTCCAGGTTTCTTACACCTTACTCCCCGATATATACTCTTTAATCCAGTGACATTGGCCTTCTGGCTCTTCCATGAACAAGACACTCCATCTGTCAGCTCCAGACATTTCTTTGGCCATCCCCCATTCTGGGAACATTTTCCCTCTTCCATTCCAACTACTGACCTCCCTGGCTTCTTTCAGAAGTCTTCTCCAACCTTTCTTAATCCCAGTGCCTTCCCTGTTAATTAACTCCCATTTATCCTATATATAACTTGCTTTGTATATATTTGTTTGCATGTTGTCTCATCTTTTAGATAGTTTGCTCCCTGGGGGCAGGAACTATGTTTTACTTCTTTTTGTATCCTCATTACTTAACATAGTACCTGGTGTATAGTAGGTGCTTAATAAATGTTTATTGATTGATAGATAACAATATTGATGAGAGTACCTACCACAAAGGACTGGTGGAAGGCTCAAATGAGATAATGTGCCTACAGAGGCATTTTGTACACTGTAAAGTGCTATATGTGTTCTTATCGTCATCATTATTATTATATTATCATTAATTACTATCACCACCACCATCATCGTCCATATTGTCCCCAACTTTTCCCAGCTCAGAGCTGGTTGTGAAAGGGGGGAAAGTGTTTTGAGTAGTGGGGGCAGTGTCCTTTCCCAGAGAGAAGCAAAAGGAATGGCTCTCTCTTTGCAGATTCCCATAGTCTATCAGAGTCATAATGAACAGCCTGAAGTTCTGAAGTGTTCACACAGGGAGCCAGTGAAGTTTCCTGGTTGCTGTGACATTGCCTTAGCAGCCTTCAAGAATTAGCTAACTCTTCCAACCCACTAAAAAATAATTTCACTTTGATCAGAGGAGAAAAGAAGCTATTTAAGGTATTAGCTTAAAAGGTCTTATGTATGAGCACAGGCAATTAAGGCTGACATCTACATCAGCATCCTACACAAAGCCTGGGAAACACTTCATTGTCACTTGTTAACTCCAGGTTACTCCTGAAGACCTTTTTGGGCTGTATTATCCTCAGCCTGCCACTTCCTGGAACACTCCCTGATTCACTGGAGAATGGTGATTTCTCATCAGCTTGTTCATGATCCCCCAGAAGATCACCTTTTCTTCCTCTCATATACCACTTGTAAATGGTATCCTTCTCCCTGGAGGAAAGCTTATAGAGAAATGTTGGACTTGGAGTCAGTAGGCCTGGCTTCACATCCCACTTCAATCATTTACCGGCTGTAGACATCTCTCCACCTCTTGGGAGCCTCAGTTCTTTCATCTGTAACAGGAGGGTAAGGATACCAGAACTGCCTGCCCCATAAAGTTATGAAGAAAACACCTTGCAAACCTTCAAGGTTATAGAGATCATTGTTATTCATGTACACCCAATACTACTGACCCTACTGTTCAGCCTTCCCTTGGCAAGTAAATCTGTCTTATTTTTTGTAGCATTAAGCTTCAATCTCCACTTCTCTAAAATGGGGGAGAATAACCTTTGTTATAGAAAAACCTCTCTTATGTTATGTAGAAAGTGCTGCATAAACCTTTAAAAAACCCCAGCAGCTAACAATTATTATTATTATCATCATCATCACTAGACTTCGAGCTATGGAGTTAGGGACTGTATTATTATTATCATCATCATCATCATCATCATCATCATTAGACTTTGAGCTCTGGGGTTAGGGACTGTTCTTTTGGAACAGTGTCCACGATAGGACCTCTGGCATCTAGGAGCTTACTGAGGCTTTGGACAATAAAGACAACAATGAACAGAACAGGGGCCTATCAAATAGAAGCAAAGGGAAGGCATCATGTCAGAGACTACTGGATGTAGTCAGGAAGACCTGAGTTCAAATTCCCCCAAATGACACTAACTAGCTAACTAACCAAGTGAAAAGTCACTTGGTGAGTGTCAGTTTCCTTAACTGCTGGGTGGCAAAGTAGATGATGATGAGAATGATGATAGCTACCATTTATATGGTGCTTATTATGTGCCAGGATGGAACACCTGGCCTGAAGTCAGGAAGACCTGACCTCAAATTTGGCCTCAAGACACTTAGTAGCTGTGTGACCCTGGGCAAATTATTTAACCTCTGCCTCAGTTTCTTCAACTATAAAATGGAGATAAAAGCACCTACTTCCCAGAGAATCAAATGAGATAATACCTGTGAAGAACTTAGTGAAGTGGCTGGCTAGTTATATGTGCTATGAAAGCTAGCTATTAGTATAGGTGTGGCACTTTGCTCACTGGGCTATTCTGAGGCTCAAGTGAAGTAACAGGTATGTAAAGTGCTTTGCAAACTTCAAAGCAAAAGTCAGCTGTTATTATTCCACTCTCACCTATACTATCATAGGCACCTCATTGCTGGGATATAACAGCTTATATGGCTATCCCCGATACGTGCCAGTGGATTAATCACAGCTGATGTTTAGTTTCAGGCAGATGTTCTGAGGATAGTCACCGCCCAGAGCCACCAGGCAAACCTGTGCGTGCCTCTGGGACGTGGGATGTCTGTATCAGGTGTTTTCCTCCAACACTGGCAGGTACATCACTCCTGAGCAACAATATAAACCTCTAGGATGCAATCTGCTGAGGCCGCACATAGGGGTTTGTGTATTATTTGCAGGGCTTGGTTTATTTCGCCTTCTCTGCTGAGTGTTTGTTTTTTCCCTGTACTGAGAACAGAGAACTCAAGGGGCCATGAACTCTCCCTTTTCTGTCTGAAGATCAATCAGCCTGAGATCCCTGTTTCTTCCTTCCTACCTCTCCAGCAGTAATCTGGCAAATAACTTTGGCTGACAACTCAGGAAAGGGTTTCAGTAATAGTTAACTGTTCCAGGCCATGATTCAGCTACAAGAGGAAAATTCATGACCTGTACATTAAGCCACAGACAGACTTCCCTCGCCTTTTTAAGCCCAGACAGCCTGTTGTTTGTGAGTATTTCTCATACAGTTCAGTGACTTTCAGTTCAAACTGGCAGGCCGGCCTCAGAATTGCCTTTCCCAGATCATGCTCTCCACATTCATTCCAAAAAGAACACGAAGACATCAAATCTGAGGCCCCATGGGGCCTTTCTCTGCCCTTCTGCCAAGTGAATTGGTGCTTCTCTGGCGGGTGGGCGGAACAGAGGCCCGAGATTCCAGTCCTCAGAACAGAGGCTCCTCTTCCAGCACACCAGTTTTTCAACAAGCTGACTCTTTCTACCCACAAGCCTGGAACTCTACAAAGTTCCTGCTGTTGGAAAGCACTCCTTCCCTCTCTCCCTCCTTCATCCAAAGGGCCAGGCTTGCTGAGTGCTAGCTCTAGCTCTCCAACAGAGGGGAAAATGACTGTAAACAGAGCTGTAATTCTGTTCAAAGAGTGCTGAGCTCCAGACCACCAAGACTGCAGAGGGCTTTACCTCTCCCTCCATTGTCTCGTCACAGTAGCACCCCTCTGGCAAACAACATCCTCTACCCCCATTTCTTAAAAACCCCAAATCGATGAGGGGTATTTAAAAGCTCAGTGATTGACAGAGGGTAGAACAGCTCTCCTCTCTAGGTGATTGTAAGCGCAGTTGGTCTGTCCTCTTCATCACCATTTTGTGCCCCCTCAAAACTATTTTTACCTTTACCTTAAGATTTCCCGAACTAGACTTGCTTGGATAGCAAGAATGGGAATAGCCTTGTTCTCCTTTCTGCTGCCTGCCTCCTATCTGCCCCACCCCAAACGTTCTATCCAGCTTCCACCCTCTGTCCACTTCGCACTACTCACTGCCCCTCCATTTCTCCCCTTCCCCTCACCCCCCACCCAGTCCAGCTGCCAATCTCTTTCCTACTTACTTCAGTCTTGCAGGCCTCTACCCCCAGGGTCTGATGACTTCAGATTTACTACAGGAAGGATATAAACACTAGAATATACCCAACAGAAACCAGAGAGAGAGAGTCCCCACCGGTACAACCAGACCCACCCAATTCCTCCAAACAGCCGAATCTAGAAACAAAAGTTGATGTTTCCTCCCTCATTTTTTTCACTCATATTCTTTCTGAGAATGAATAGAGATGGGGCAAAACTGAAAGCTGGGTGCAAAGGGGGTCGTAGAACTTAATCCAGAGCAAAACCCGCCGCTTCTCCCTGCCCAGGGGAAAAGTCTGCCTTAGAGGAGAAGGCTATTGGCTATTATTCAGAAATAACTGAAGAGGATTCCGCCACAACTGCCCCTGGCGCCCCGGGTGGGAGTGTCGTTGGGGGAGGAAGGATGGAGAGGAAAGGGGAGGCGCCAGGGAACCTGGGTCCTTCTCCCCGCCCCCAATCCTTTTTGGCTCCGAAACCGGATTTGGGAGGCAGCAGTGGCTAGATCGGGTCTCTGGCCCCCACCAGCAGATAAGCAGGGACACTGGGAGGAAGGCCGCTGCCTCCCCCTTCCCATCTCACCTCGCACGCTACGCACCCCAAGCTTCCCAGGGCACTAGAGGCCAGTTCTGCGCGGGCATCCCCCCTGCCACAGACAGTTCCCCCTTTGGCTAAGTTTTCCCCAGACTTACCAGGAGGGGAGAGGGCCACGCTGGAGATTTCCTCCGTAGGTCTGTCTTGCCTGTCTGAATCAAAGCAGTGTCCCGTCTGCCTGTCTGTCTGTGTCAACGCTTCTGCCAGACAGAACGCCGACTCCCGACGCCTAGCTCCTTGGCACTCCACTCCAGGCGGGGCTCTAGAGCTGGAAAGTGGAAGCGCGGGGGAAGGTGCGGAGGCGGCGCCCAGCCCTGCCCAGCCCAACCCGGCCCAGCCCAGCCAGACCAACCCCACCAGCCCCGCCCCGAGAGGCCCACGTGGAAGGAGCCGAGCCTGGTACGGCCAACGCCCCGGGGCTTCTGGAGAGCCTTAGGAGGGGAAGGGGGTGGGTGTAGGGGCTGCTGAGGCCGCTGCAGGTGAAGGGGAGCCAGGAAACCTGGGTTCCAGCTCTGGCTCTTCTAGTCCAAGTTCTAATCCCCACCGTTCGCTCCTTGTGTGACAGTGGATAAGACATTTCTTTGAGTCTCAGTTTCTCCATCTGTCAAAGGAGGCTGTTCAGAGATCAGAACAGATAACGGATGTGAAAAAGAAACAGCCTGGATGGTTGGAAAGAACCCTGGCTCTGGATACCTGGGTTCAATTTGGCTTACAAATATTAAGTACCAAATATCAACAAAGGATTTGTTTTTTGGATTGGACCTGTGATTTCATTGGTATAAGAAAACACCACTAGTAATAAAAATCAGCACTGGCTCTAAAACAGTTTAAGAACCACAGAAGATTAGGCTAAATGACTTAGTCACACAGCCAGTATGTATCCAAGGCAGCACTTGAACCCGGGTCTTACTGACTCTGAAGACAGCTCCCTATCCCTTACAACACGTTACCATTTTCGTCCCATCTTGTAGGAGGAAGGAGTCTCTGTTCTTCAGGGAGAAAGGAGTTGGGGGTTAGGTGGAGGGGGGATACAAGTATACAGATAAGTGCAATACAAATATGCTGATAACATACAGATAAGTATAATATACAAATATTTCCTCACTTTTTACTGATAACTCACCCCCTCAATCAGTTACCAAGTCCCCTCATTTCTACTGTAACCATAGCAGTGGCATAACTCCCATTCAGGCCTACTGCCACTATCCTTTTTCAGACCCTCATCCTCTCTAGCCTGACCTATGGCCAGAGCTTTTATTGTGTCTGCAACTCTAGTCTCTCCAATCCATACCCTCCACAGTCACCCAAGTAAATTTTCTAAAGAGCTGCCCTGACCTTGTCCCCTCTACTCAATAAATTCCCATGACTTTCTAATATCTCTAGGATCACTTGGCATTTACAACTGTTCACAACGTGGGCACTTTCTACCTTCCCAGGTTTCTTCCACATTATTCCCCTCCGATTGCTATAGTGTCCAGTCTAACCCACATACCTGCTCTTTCTCACACTTGACACTCCCTCTCTGTGCCCTTAGACACAACTAGGTGGCTCAGTGGAAAGAGCTCTGGGCCTGGAGTCAGGAAGAACTAAATTCAAATCCAGTCTCAGTAACTGTGTGATCCTAGGCGAGTCTCTTAAACAATATGTGCCTGTTTCTTCCATTGTAAAATGAAGATAAATAACAGCACTTATCTCCCAGGGTTGTTGTGAGAATCAAATGAGGATAATATTTGTAAAGTGCTTAGCACAGTCCTGGCCCAAGGTAGCAACTTAATAAGTGTTTATTTCTTCCTTCATTTGCAGTCCCCCAAGCCTGGCATGCTTTAACATCTGCTTCTTGGAATTCCTGCTTTCTTCAAGACTGTCTTAAGGGCCACCTTCCTTCTGAACAAGGATTTTCCTGATCCCCAAAGCCATTAGTGTCTTCCCTTTATAAAGTAGCCTAGTACCTACTTTGCATGTATCTTGTATATACATTTATAGGGTCTCCCTCATTAGAATGTAAGTTTCTTGAGGGCAGAGACAGTTTTGCTTTTGTCTTCTTATTCCTGGATGCTTAGCATTGTGTCTGGCACTTGGGTGCTTTAATAAATGTTTTTGTATTGATTAATGAATCGCTAGTAAACTGCTTCACCAGCTTCCTAGGTAAGAGCAGTGTCTCAGGGAGATGTCAGCAAAACTGAAGGTCAGAATTGACTTGAATTGGTTGAAATTAGACACCTACGGGGAAAAGCTTTCAGATCCTACCCTAGAAAGAAGGGGAGGTTTGAATACCTTAAAAAGATATGAAGAAGCCTGCAAGATGAAGGGGCCCGGACTATATTTATACCTTGTCCCAAGTCACTAATGGCTTACTGTTGTTTTTCTGTCATTTCATTCATGTCTGACTCTTCCTGACTCCTTTTGGTGTTTTCTTGGCAAAGATACTGGAGTGGTTTGCCATGTTCTTCTCCAGCTCATTTTACAGATGAGGAAACTGACGCAGATAGCAGTTAAGTGACCGTCACAGAGTCACACAGCTGGCGTCTAAGGCTGTATTTGAACTGAGGTCTTTTTAAATCTAAATACGGGGTTCTATCTACTGTGCCACCTAGCTGCTACCAACATAACGTCAAGAAAAAATAATTTAAAAACTGTATTTTTCTGGGAGACAGTTTGAGTCCATTATGATTTTTCCTGGCCTCTAATCCATTATTATCTTTTCTAAGAAGAACTAAGTATGGTTTCCAAGTTAAACAGAGAGTTGAACCAACACATTTTATTGACGATTTGCTATATGTAAATGACACTAAGCTGTATGGCTCTACTGAAAAACAAAGTTCCTTCCTCGAATCATTTTCAGATGACATTAGAATGGCATTTGGATTCAATAAGTGTACAGTTTCTAATGTGTGCCAAGCAAAGATAGAAACTGAAGACATTAAGCTTGAATTTGGAGGTCAAATTCAACCAATGGATGAAGGTAATACCTAGAAAAAACTTGATCTCCAGGAAAAACATACCAAGCATAGTGATATCAAGGACAAGGCTGTGGCTAGATATGTTGAGACTTGCTGACATCTTGAAATCTAAGATGAGTGGGAAGGACATGTTTAAAGCAGTTAACTATGCAATATGACGCTTAATCTATACCTTTGGGACAAAGACCTTGGATGGACTTAGTATTTAAATAAAAAACCCGTACAATATTAATGGAATTCAGGGCTTTTCACTTTAAGACAGCTGGAGAAAGATGAACATTTCCTTAACATTAGATTGTAAGCTCCTTGATGGCAGGAATTCTCTTATTTGTATCTTTAGTACTTAATTCAGTGCCTACTACATAGTAAATGCTTAATAAATGTTTATTGTTTCATATCACCACAAAGGAACAGCTAAGTGGTTCACTGGTTAGAGTGCTAACTTGGATTCAAGAAGACTAGAGTTCAGATTCACCCTCAGACACTCACTACCTGTATGATCCTGAGCAAGTCACTTAACCCTGTTTGCCTCAGTTTCCTCATCTGTAAAATAAACTGGAGAAGGAAATGGCAAACCACGTCAGTGTTTTTGCCAAGAAAACCCCAAATAGGGTCACAAAGAGTTAGACATGATTGAACAACAGAATAAATGTAAATAAATATACAAAGTAGTGAAATGCAAAGCACTTTGGGAGAGAGGAGATAGCTTCATGCCGAAGGTGGTGCTTGAGCTCAGACTGAAAGGCAGTGGGATTTTATGTGGCAGAGATGAGGGGGCAGTGCATACCTGGCATGGGGGGAGGGCGTGGGCAGTGTTGGGGACCAGCCTAAACAAAGGCTGCAAATGGAGTGTTATGTACCAGGAACTGAGAGAAGGGAGTCCCCATGAGGCTAGAAGAAGGTTGGGTCCAGATTGTGAAGTGCTTTAAAAACTACAGAAGAGTTTATATATTACCCTAGAGGTAACAAGGGAATCACAGGAGTTGATTAAGTAGGGGAATAGTATGATCAGAACACCTCTGAAGGAGAATCACTTTGTTGAGGTAAATAGAGTGTTCAAGGCAGATGGGGCAGGCAGGATGCAGGATGTGAGATGTGAGATAAGACGCAGGATGTGACCTGCCGTAGACTATGTATCGATGCCCCCACCGTGGACTTATCTGTGTGCTTTCACAAACCACTCCCAAATACTTGACATTGCAGAGCAGCTCTGCCCCTCCCCTTTTCTGTTCTCCTTTCTTATCTATTAGATGAAGATACCTCTGGACTACCTGATATTCCAGGCATTCCAAAGCCGTGTTTGTCCCTCCTCTCCTTCTCTTACTTCTTTTCTTCCTATCTAATCAAACTGTATTTAGACCAGACACCTAATCTGGCTAATTGCTCTGCTGCTCCTATGGGAGCAGGCCCACTGGGTGAGTTACCCTCAATAAATGCCTTTTTTTAACTCGGAGACTGTCCAAGTGAATTCTTTCAGGACACTGGAACCCACACATCTATTCTTCATCAACTTCAGCAGGCAGCAGTGTATAGGATGGACTAGAGTAGGGAAAGACTTAGGCAAGGAGACCAATTAGGAGGTGGTTGCAGTAATTTAGAAGACAGTGGATAAGGGCCTCCACTGGCAGTAGCTCTGTGAGAGGAGAAAAGGGGTATGATATTGATGAGTGTTGTGGAAGTAGACGTGGGAAGTTTTGGCCTTTGAGTGGATAGTGAAAGAGAGTGAGTAGAGGATAATGCCATAGTTATGAACCCAGGAAAGCAGAAGGATGGTGATGCCTAAAAGAATTACAACAAGAAAGTGACTTGACCCAGGATTGTTTCTATCTAAACCCCATAAAAAATTGAGTAGAATTGGGGCAGCTAGGTGGCACAGTGAATAGAGCTATGGCCTTGGAGTCAGGAAGACCTCAAATCCGGCCTCAAACACTTTATACTTATTAGCTGTGTGACTCTGGGCAAGTCACTTAACCCTGATTGCCTCACCAAAAAAAAAGAAGTTAAAAAAAATTGAGTAGAATAAGATGATAATAACAATCTTGATAGTTATACAGCCCTTTAAAATGTATAAAATTTTTTACCTTCATTATCTTATCCACTCTTCATGATAGCCCTGTGAAGACTGTATTCGACGGAGACAGGTAGACAAGACAGTCTGAACAGCTGAACAGTTCTGTGAAGATTTAGTCTCCAAGGAAGATGATCTCTTAACCCAGGCAGTTCCAAATCTCAGTGGGAAGATTTAGCCCTCACCTTCGGGAGCCCCTCACACAAATAAGAAGGTAAGGATTTGGGACCCTCCAGTCCTCCTATTTTGAGAGGTAGATGTCTTGCACAGTATGCGGTTTTTACTGCTGTTTAATAACCAGAGTCAGTCAGTCGA